ACAAAAAAAGAAAACACCCAAAGAGTGTGTAAGAACGGACATTTCTTTTGTTCTTGTCAAATACCCATTACCCTGAGAAAACAAAACAACAAAAGAAAGAGTTCAGATATATAACCTTGATCTTCTATAAGAAAAATGCTTTGGTGAACTTATTCCCCATTATCTGGCTGTAAAAAAAAAGGGGGGGGGAAGTAATCTAAAGCAAAACAAGGAAATATTAAGTACAAGATACTAATCAAAACATTTTTCATAAGTTATTGCATAAGTTACTGCATACTTCAGGGAGTTCTGTTGTCACAGACAGATGAATGTAAGTTTAAAGTTCACAGAGATCTGCAGGACTTGGCCACAAATCATAAATGAGTCCATTGTAGAGAAGCTGCAATGTAATTCTTTTGAGAGACAGATATTACAATGTGCAACTCCAAATATCAAAGTTCATTGGAAAGCCTCCTCCTCAGACCCCCATGGCAGCTTACTCTCCCTCTAGTTAACACCCATGAAAAAGTTGTAGAGTTGCTGTTGAAGCAAGGCAAGTGCAAAGATTCTAGTTCAAACCAAACCAGACAGTTTCACAGCAGAGCATGAGTTAACAGCTGGGAGGATGGGAATAAGTCAGTTTTGCTGTTACAAGACTATAATGTGGGACATACCCTACAAGTATTTCACACAATTCATGTCCTACAGCAGTTGGGAACACTGCTAAAGCAAACTGGGGCAGTCTGAAAAGGGTGTTCCCCTTAGAAACATCATAATGTTCAAATTAAAATGCAAGGCCAAAAGAGTTTGGAATATTTACCATCATGATTTATTGTATATTTTTTGTGTGCTTGCAGGAGCCAAAAAAATTGTTTCATAAGCAAGAGAAATGTATTTTCTTATGAAACGGCATCTTATGCGTTTCTCTTTATACTAAATAAGACATGAACTTTGACTCCACAGCTTTGTAAGGCTGAACTACTCATAACAGCTCTTGTGGCTCTTCCAGTTTCTCATTTTCGTAAGCTGACTTCTTCTGACAAGAAGTTTATGTCTGAGAATTTCAAGTTTGAGACTTCTACCTGTTAATAAAGTACAGTCACATTTGCTAAAAACAACTGGGTGAAAAGACAGACTCAGGAAACATGATAAGAGTAAGCCCCATTTCATGAGAGAAGAAAGTTAAAAACATACAAAAAAAATACACAGAATCCCAGAGAAAGCAGATAAAATCAAGCTGGGAGCTCACTGTGCCATGTGACAGCATGCTCTCTAATTATTTTCACTGTAGAAGAGACTGTACAATAAAAAGATCTGAAATCAGAGCAAAAATGTCCCACCCTCAAGCCAAGAAAAACAGCAAGGATGCTAGGGAAGGAATGGGAGTAGATCTGAAAATTACTTGTAGGAAAACCATAGTTAACTTTTTCCTCCCTCAAGATGGGGGAAGAAGGTCAGTTTACAATATACCTTCTTCCTTCCTTCCATTTATAACATTGACATTTCTATCAGCCATATTTTTTTTTCACTTCTCCTTATTGTTTCCTCTGTGCCCATGTGAACCTTACCTTCTTCCTTATTATTTTCAGTTGTCCCTTTGCCATTTCTCCTGTATTTAATATCTCTACTCAGACCTCTGTAGTCACCTCTTAATTCTCACTGCTCTTGATCAAAGCCAGACACTTTCTGTGGAACATGAAACTTCAAATTATGCAATCACAAGCCATACCTGGCCAATGCCCTTCTTGCATGATTTTGGCCATGCAGATTGGATGCAGGCAAAATTCAGCCTTTGAAAATCCACCCCATTTTAAATTTCTCTTTCAAAAAATAAAACAAAGTGGAACACATTTGGACATTAATTAAACACAAGAAACAGAGTTTATACCAAAGCCTATGTCCAAAGACTAAATTAAAGCTTACTTTGGCAAATTGTTCATACTGGCCATTTGGGAAGGGTGTGGAAATTGTTCAGACAGAAGGAAGAATAGGAAGAACTTGCTTGTCTTGGCTACTTTTTCTCATTTTTCCATTCTTTCCTTCTTTCTTTCTTCTCCTGTGTGTAACACCCACAGATTTCCTAATGAGCTGGTATGCGACCCACCACACACTGCAGTGTGGGTGTAACTCAAATGAAAAGGAAACGTAAATTAACAAGTAACTTGCATGGATATTTATATTAAGTGCCACAAAAATGAAAGGTAGTGTCAAATAATATTAATATTTAACATAATATAACATTAATACTAAAAAGAAGCTGTGATAGATGAAAATTTTCTCTTCAAAAGTTACAGCAGTAAGGAAGTAGAAGACTTAACAAGTCTTAAGGTAGTTTGGCTTCTAGTTCTGAAATGAAACCTAATATAACATGCCTTGACATTAAAGGTAGTCTAAAATCTTAATACTGGTCTAATAAGCCTCTTTTCAAGAAATTTTGAATACATCCTGCAGTGTGTACAGCAAACTAGTTAAAATTGACTTGAAAAGATGCAACTACAGCCAGTGGTGGAATGCTGACCTGGGACACTGGAAATGCCAAGCAAGCAGTTAATAAACATGTGATGGATCCCTCTATAGATACACACCTCCTTACAAGAGCAGCGGGTTTACAGCACTGAAACTCCACACAGACTTGAATAACTTGGAGCAAAAGAAACCACATAGAGCTTGAAGAACTCAGAAACTCTTCATAACCTCCAAATGCAACAAGAGCTGCAGCTGAAGCCTTTTCCCAGTACCAGGCTCGTGCATTCCTTTGTGTGGTACAAAACACTGCCAGCCACGCACTGGCCTGGAATGTGGCACTTCATTTGTGCCCAAACCCATCTCCTTGAAACCTACAAACAGAACCTGTGATCCTAGAGAGGAGGGCAGAACACAAGAGGTAACTGGTAAAGCCTCCTGGCCCTGTGGCTCACCTCAAAGGGTCAGTCCTCAGAGGCAGGGCCCGGTTGCCCCAGTGAACACCCACCTATTCTGTTATTTCCTTCCCAGGTAAGAACAGACTTGAATGGAACTTGAAGAAACTTGATTCTTGGACTTGAACAAAGCACTCCTTTCTTACAAATTACAGCCTTGAGCAAAGCAGGCTGAGAGAAAAAGTTGGCTTTGGAAATGAAGCTTAACATGAATGTTCGTTATCACAGCCTGTTTTCTTCCTTTAGTTCTTTATTGTTAATTAATGACGGTGAGATTAACTGCAGAAAACTGATGGAACAGTCATTCTGCCTCATCCAAAGTAAATATCCTTTAATCTGAAACTGTCACTGATATTACTGATGACCTCCTCAAATGCATATCCCTAAGTTTTTAATTTTCAGGAAACAAGGGGAAGAGTCAAGAAGAAGATCAGTTCCCAACCCTGGAACAGCACACCAGTATTTTTACTGAAAAGTTCATGTTATGAAAGAAAATAGAAGACCCTAAATTCTCAAAAACACCCTCAAATTAGAGTTGCATCTACCCACATATATAAAAACAACTATTATATCTGGCAATTTTACTTTATAAAATCATCAATTTTTCAAGACCTACCTTTTACTGAGGCAGGAAACTTTAAAAAATAAATAATAAAAAACATCCCTTGATAAAAGAAAAACCTCAACAAACCTTAGAAATTCTGATCCCACCATCTCTAATGTTCACTCACAATCAGAAAAGTACAGGGGTCTGAAAGTTCATGTGCTTGACAAACACCAATAATATTTGAAAGGGATAAAATGTAGTTACAACTTGCAAGGAAGAAAAGGGTTTGGAAATCCTTTAATGGCCTGAAGCACCTCTTGCTTACGTGGTACTGTCTTCTTGAGAGGTGGGAAAAAGCCCATGTCATGCCAGAAGAACCTGGCTCCCATAAATGCCTAAAATTTTGCAGTAATAAGCCAACCATACAGTATATAACCTGTGTTTTATCATTATTATTGACAATAGCATGCAATGCTGCAACCACCAACTAGCATTGTACAGGAATATACCTTTTCAGCAATGGAAAGCATTTTAAGAAGCAGAGAACTTGTTCCCAATTGAATTAGTTCATATAATATATGTTGAATTCTAAAATTTATGAGTACAGAGATGATGTAATGTAAGTATGTAATCACATGTGTTGCAGAAATCATACTCCAGTAGAGACCTCTCAATGTATTTAAGGAAATGTGACAAAGCATGGCCAGCATAGAGCTTTACTCCAGCAGCCCTTCTTTTCTGTGACAAGTTTATAACCTGCTCTAGGCTAGTAACAAACACCAGTAATTTTTTGCCTAAGAACTATGTAAAGATAAATTGCTGGTATGATATAAGACCAACAGATAAGCCCATTAGCTGTAAACCCCACCATTATGCTAACAATGAAATGGTATTAAACAAAAACTGGCAACCATTTAGCCCCAGAGCTGCTCTAACTGGAAGGCCCAAGCTACAATGATCACGATCTTCAGTTCAAAATGTAGATGTACTGAAATGGCACCCACTGCCTCAACACCCTCACACACACAAAATAGGAGTTCCAAAGGGTGGGTGAAGGCTCTCCATCTCATTTTCTTCTGCACTCCCCAAGGGCATGGGTGCTGCTGCCAGGCCTGCAGTAGCACTGGTGAAATGACAAATGTCAATTATCACATCACACCAACTTCTCAAGACTTAACAGATTGCCAAAAGTAAAAGGAAAAATAAAGGTATTATTTCTGTATTTAAAAATTCTAAACTAAATGTGTGCGTTGAAAAGAGACTTAACCAACCAGCAAGATTTCAATCAATTTTGCAGAATCAAGGGTTGTATAAGTTATTGTTTTAGTTCTAATGAAAGTCTCTCAGACTAATAGTACCAGCACTACGTTCACTTTTAAGCAACACAGAAAACTAAAATCCACTTAGTTTTTTCACTTACATAGCTGAAGTAATTCCAGACCAAAACATCAACTATTTAAGGCCTTCCTGATGGCAAATTTCTCACAGAAAAAAACCCAAAGAACAGTATTTCCCACTACACTTTATTTCACACTAAGTTAAATAACTTCTTTTACCAGTAAGAAACAAAGGCCCGGATGATCCATGTTCCGTGGGTTTCCACTGACCACGTTGTTTACGTGCCTCCAAATAGTGTTTGACCCTTGAGGCAACAACTTCTTCTAGCAACTTGCAGACCTCCTGAAAGAGAAACCACCAGCCTGGTTTGATCTAAATTTGCAGAAATGCCTACAGGCACACAGCAGAAATCAATACAAAATTACCCCCTCTCCCATTAAAAGGAAAAACATTGAGAGGAATGACATGAATTAGGAAATGAATGGGAACAAGGACGGGAATCAAACAATTTTTCTACAAGAGGGGAGGTACATTATGAAATTCTTACTTGGCAGATGAAATACATCATAATACTAAGTTTTTAAAATCAGAAATTAGTTTCATATGCATACAATGTTGGAAAAAATACATGTTAAAAATGTATCACAACATTAGGTATGAGGTATTTAAGCAAAAAAAAAAAATTAGTAAAAATCCTCTCAGGAATTGTCAACACACTATTTCTCTGCAAGAATCCTCATAAATCACAACAGATATTTTGCTTCAGTTCAGTTTAATTTGGGGGTGGGGGGAAGACTGAGCAAATTAGGTCACAGCAACTTAATTGCTCTAATTAATTTAGATTTTTCTGCTCCTAAACGTAACTGTTCATATCTTTCATACTTTCTTTAACAAAGCACAATAAAACTACATACAACTCAGGAAGAGCAAAACCTTCTGCCAGAATTATGCAGAAAAAAATACTTGGAGTAAAAACCAAAAATTCATCTCTTGAATACCAGAATAAGTTTTAAGCTTAATACACACACACATATTTGAGACTTTTCCCTCAGTATTCTCATTTTCCATTGTTCATAACTATGTGCTCCCAGAAGTGATACTTTATGGCACACAAAAATATAATTTTACCCTTATCATGTGTTTGAGTAATAGATAAAATTATATGAGTAGTATCTAAACTATCTTGCCTTGAAATTTCCTTTTGATTATTGTAGAAAGTACTCAGAGCAACAAATTTTATTGCATTGCTCTCAACGAAAGCAGAGCACATACATTAGTCAATCACAACCAGTATTTTGTCTTTATAGTAAGAAATACATTTTCCTTTCTGCTTGCAGAGCACAATTATAAATTACTGAATTTGCTTATTCTTCTGTTTAACTCATTAAAGTGCTCCCATTACACATTCCTTCATGGGCCTGTGTTCAGGTTAGAACAAAAAGGTCTCAAAAGCAGCAGAAACATGGTGTGTCTTTAGTTCCTTCTACAGCAATAAACATTACTGTGCACTTCTTTCATTTTCATGGAACATATTTACTTGTTGGGTTTATGGAACTATTATTTAAATGCCCACAAAGACCTCAGACAGCAAAGATAAAACTTTGACTTTGCCATCCTAGGTCCAGGGGAAAAGGGGTGTGAAAGAAAGGGCAGGGAAATTGGAAGGGCAGAAATAAGGAGAAAATCCTGCAGCATCTCACAGCAATCCCAAGAATACTCTACATCCAGCTGGTCACAGCGGTGTGCCACGGTGGTCATTCCAACACCCAACTGTATTTCCTTACAGAAATCTCATGCTTTGGGCACTGGTGTAGTTCCATGCTGCCCTCCATGGCATGTGCTCCAAGGAGGAGCCAGCAGTCAAAAGGCCACTGCAACAGCATCACCGGGATCCTTGAGCTCAAGTTGATGACTTTCACCCAGGGTAAGCAGGGAATCAGCAGAAATTGTGTTTGTTACAGAGGCATCCACATTTCCCACAGACAGGCAAAGAGGCACCACCATGAGTAGTTTTCAGAGTGTAGAAACAACAAAAATGCAGAAAGCACTTGCAATAAACATGTAAAAGCTCTCATAAAAAAAAAAATGTTGGAATAATCATTCTTTAGGACCTTTTGTCCCCTCAAAGATACGGCATAGGATTTTCCAGAAGTGAATTGCAAAGCTATAGGACTCACACTTCTCAGTTGCTGAAAATATGCAACCTTTATATTTCTCTCAAAACATGCAGTCACAGAAATGCACTGAATGCTGTCCTGTCATGCCTCTTTATTAAATCAATCATGACCTAATTTCCTGAAATTCATCTCTTTTGTTTTGGCAGTCTTACAAAATACATTTTGAAAACATTTAAAACTCAGATAACCAGGAGAGTAAAACTGGTTATAAATAGAAAAGGTAATGAGCATTCATTTGGTCATAAAAAAGAAATCAAAAATATTTTCCCTATTTTCTTATTTCTCTGCTTTATAAAGCACGAATCAGATGAACCGCATGCTGCTAAATATTCTGCTTTTGCTCCCTCAGGATATTAACGTATTGTTTCTTTTAATTTCATTTAAATGTATGACTTTGAGATGTCTGGGGACGTTGTGCAGTGACAAGTTAATGATGGCATTATTAGGGAAGCTATCTGCTGAAAATTACCGTAACAGAGACTTGCGGGAAAGTCCACAGGCATCCCAAACACGTCCTGCCTTCATTTTCAATAGGGAACTTCTCAAGTTCCCACACTGAGGGGAAAGCTCCCGCCAGGAACTCAGCACAAGATCCTGTGTGATTTCTCTAGCATCTGATGAAAGTTACAGGCAGAAATTTGCTGCTCACTGATGCACTGGTTTTCCACAATTTCATCAGGCTATATACATGGCACACTTAAAAATAATGGAAGTTTCTTTTCATAAGATGAAACAGTTCTACTATGGTTTTTCATGCATATTTATGTTTTATTGCACCCTCTAAATGCAACATCGTTGACACTTCTCAGAATGAGGAAAAAAAATTAATAGGAAGATATTTCAACAGCAAAATGATACCTGTCAAAATCTGGTTTATATCACTCAGGATAATTTACAAGCATTCATGAGAAACATCTTTTTTAAATTAAAAGTTAAGTCAGAAGAATCCATACAGCATACACACATGCATGTATGTATGTGCACACACAGAGTTTAAAAATTAAAAAGCAAATCTGAAGTGGTCATTAGTAACCCAAAAAGAACATATGGTTGACTTAGGGGTCCTATGGCAACCACTGATAGTTAGGTATAACTAATAATATTCTCCTAACACTGAAAAATTCAGAACAGTTCAAGGCAATCCAACTTTTTCCCTGCAGCCATACACTTTTGAAGTAGAATTGATATTGTTGTACCTCTTTCTCATGATCTGAAAACCAGCTGGTGTCTTTACTGGAACCTTGAGGCAAAATATGAACATCCACCAAGACAGCAAAGTTCCCACACTGGAGGGGGAAAAAAAAAAAGAAGAAAAAACATGCTGAACTATAGCTGCTGGAAGCACATGTTGAGCAGACGGGGAGATAAACAATCAGGTAAGCACATGCATCTGATTCAGAGTTACAGCAGGCTGAACATGAAATTCCACATAAATTGTGGAAGTTTATGAAGTACAGAATTAAAAATTTATCATTGTTTGTGGACTTAACAAGGAACAAGAGCATCAGACCTATCCTGGATAGCTCACTGAAATGTTTATATGACAAGCACAAGTATGTGAAATTTTCTTCCGCTATCTAAATGCCACTTTTAAAACTGAGTTCAAGCAAATTTTAGTGTGTGAAAAATTAGCTATTCCTTCACCATACTCACACCATTCTATTTTCTGAAAATTTGGTACCACATTAATTATCTAGTTGGTGTTTTAAATTTATTAAGAACTTAAAAATTCAGCTTCTTAGAAGTCTTTTCCTCTCTCCAAGCTAGCTAATGTAATGTAAAGAACAGCAAGTTTGAAGGATTTGTCAGTGGATATTTGGTAGTTACCACATCTGTCATTTAGCCAATATTATGAATGGTGCTTTGAAGGCTCATATATTACTAAACAGTTGTTAGGATGATATAGGCTACGTCCCAAGACACATCAGCTATTTCTGAAATTCTTTGAGAGGTTTTGATTGAGGACAATGACATACAAGGGTTATTTTCTTTCACTGCTCCATCAATCATTATAATGAACTGACAGAAGGAAGAGTGAATGGCATGAACACACCCCAGTTTCACTGGGCACTAATTCACTCCTGCCTGCTTTTCTGCACAGAGATATGGGGCATTACCAGCTAATGGGTTCCCTTTTATCTACAGTAACCCAGCACCAAATCTCACTCAGACACCTTTAACTAAACAACCTGCGAGGTAAAAGCCAATTTCATCATTCTGGCTTGGCTGCTTGTGGCTCATCTGTGATGCAATGAACTCTGTGAGAGGACTGGACATGTGCAGTCATGGCAATTGCACATCTGGAATGTCTGATGGAATAGAAACAACATCCTGATCCCAGACAAACCTCACATGTGCATGGACCATCCAAAGTGAGATTGGGCTCCTTTCAAGAGATGTTACAGTGCTCACTTCCTGTCCTCACTCACTCTTCTCCATATTTGCTCTTCACTGCCAAACATCTGCAAAGCCCAGCCTCAGAATCCCAACTGCTAACAGTTAGCTCTAGAAAGTGTGATATATGGTATTGGACTCTGGCTTTACATCATCTACAGTCTAAGGGGTACATCTATATTTCAGGTTTATGGTATACCACAAATACAGTTATTGAGAATACCCTTACCTATACCACTAGCACTACGAGCAACAAGATCCATTTTATTAATCATAACAGCATATGTGGTAAATTTAAAACCTCTTGGTTTATAAAGCACTTGGATCTGCACACAGAAGTTTCTAAATAATGATTCAAATATAATTTAAATGTAATTCATGGTCAACCTTGTATTGTAGCTAGAATGCAAAAGTTTGGCAAATGAGACAGGCACTGTGAAATAATTTTGAGAAACTTCTAAATTACTTATAGGTATCAGTCACTGAAAGAGCAGAATGCTTTGATCTGTTGTATCAAAAGGCTTCTCTTTCCTCCAGAGAACCAAGAATTGCCAGATGGCTGCAACAGCAAACCTTTCCAAGCTTTAAATGGATGACAAAATATCTCACAAAAATCTCTAGTGAATCATTAGTCAGCTCCAGCAAACTTTAAATTGACTACTGAACTTCAAAGTTAGCAGACGCTGCAGATTATAAAGTGAAAGCCAGTAAATTATTCATGGTTCAGCACTAATAACAACAAACAAGTAGTTGATACATCAAGAAAATTCAAATTATCAAATGCTCCATGTTAACTGGCATCATTTTCTATTGACTACAAAACTTTATACAGAGACACTGATGCAAAGTATAGACCTGCTTTTCAAGGAGAGAGAATGCTTGTAATTATTTTCTTCTGAATGGCATTGTTTGTCTCAGTTGCCAATCTTGAAACAACTGGGAAAAAAGAAAATAACAAACCACATTCAAAACTATACAATAGAACAGTTAAAATTATCTTTAAACTTTTACAAACACCAAACACTTGTAGCACTTCAAAGAAAAAACAAAGATATAAATAGTGGATGAGTCCTTGTAATAGACAAGGTTTCCCCATGGAAGATTTCTATCCCTCTGAGCTTTATAGCTCTTCTTGTAGACAGCACACCTGGGAATATTTCAATATCCACAAGCCAACAGTTTTGCCACACAATCACAACAGTTTTGGGACAGGACACAGGGAAGCATAACTGGCAAGGCAAATAGGAAAATGGGGAATCAGAAAATAGAAGCATAGACCTTCCCAAGACTCACTACCTCCTATTTTTCTTATGTCCTGGACGTGATATGAGTGACAGCTCCCATGCAGGCTCCCCTGCATTCCTGAGCTACACAACACCTGGTAGAGCTACACCTGTATTTATGCTTCATGTGCCTTCACAGGGTACAGGGCTGTGGATGATGTTTATACTGAGCAGCTCAATACAACTTTGGCTGCTCCAGCAGCTAAGGACAAGCACAGAATAAATGCCAATACAAATAAATGCAGGGAACAGAGGCAAGTGAAGGAAAAATGTACAGTTTATATTAGCAGATCTGATCCTCTTATGGAAGTTTCTATTTTTATTTTTATTCTGATGACATGCAATTCCGTGAAAATACTCGCTTTTATTTCAGTGGAAATGAAGCGTTCCCAGTCAATGTGGCTGCAAGATGCAACTCGTGACTCCTAAGTACCACAACTGAAAGGCAAACAAAAAGAACGGCAACTTCTAATTTCATACTTTCAACATCTATCTCAAAATTTGCACTGAAAATTGTTCTTTGAGGTGTGATTGTCAAAACTGAAACTTGAATGCCTGATTTGATGGGAAACACATTTGTCAAGAATCAATAGGAAAACATTTCACTCAAAAATTAAAGACAGAAGCAGATGCTTCAATTTGATATCCCCCATAATTCTAGATTTCAAAAACTCTTCATTTTTACAAGCTGTTTTTAATACTCACATTCTTACTGTAACAGCCTAATGACATTCATTGTGTTACTAAACAAAGGACTTTAAATGATCTCAGAATGTTGTTAGTGTATTGTTGTACAGCAATGGCATTTAATTCAGAACATATTTTCAGAAATCAAATTGTTTATACAAATACATCAAACACTTCATAGACTCTGCAAATTGAAAATATAACCAGACATGTAATGTAAACAGAACAAAACCCAACACAAAGTGGTCAGTCATGCAAAGTCATCTGTTCATAACCTGCTGAAACCTTGAAATAAGCACATATTAGATGGTGAATTATTACTGCAAATCCCCCTATGAGTAAATAAACCCAAATAACTGCTTTTTATTGTTATATTCATTTTCACAATCAGCGGGCTCCTACTTGGGTACTCTTGTTTCTTTAAACTGCATCACTTAAACAGCACAAAACAATCCTTATAAACAGAAAGTCCTTGGGATGCTGGAGATGAGCATGGTGGGTTTGTACTCAGTTACATCACTCCAAATGTGCTGTATCATTAAAGCAGACATGAGTGGAGAACCAGCCTCCCAAGACACACATTAGGGTTTCCCATTTCTGCGATTACGGATGTGGACTGGAGGGTCTGAATTAATTGAAGCTGAGTTGGAACAGAAACATCTGAGTTTGGCTGGCTTTTGGGATGGGCAGGAAGAAGCTAAGCTGCAACTCTCACACTCAAAACTCCAAAAGTGCTCTATGATGAACATATAGGAACTGTTTTGCTACTTTCCCTCTTCCCTGAGCACTGTGCTACTCTGATGTTACAGAGTAAAGTCCTAGATGATGCTTAGAGTTAAAATAAAATAAAAAAATATATAGAATTCATTCCAATGACCACTCAAAAAATGTCACTGGAAGCCCTTTCTGGCATTGTGACAAAATTGATAGGACATATCATCAGTCTCTAGAATGCAAAAGCACAGCCAAGAGATTCTGTGGGGAAAAAAAATCAAATAAACCACATGTAAGTTTATGTGAAATATCTTGTCTTAAAATAGACAGGAAAATTAAAACATTTTCCATCCTCTCTAAGTTCGTTCTGAAAATCAGTAAGTGTTCTGCACTGAGTCAAACAAGTTCTAATATCTACAGCATTGAGTATAATTATGACCAATTAATCATTGATCTATACACTGTGCCAACTGTCTAATGAAAAAAATTATGTTTTCTGGGCTTATTAGAAGTTTTTTCCTCTTATACAACAACAGGCAAAAATCACTTAAGCAAGTGAGCATACAGCACAAGAAATACATTTGTCATTATACAACATTAATTTAACTTCCATTTACAAGTGTATCTAGCAGCACAGTGATTTGAGGTAATGCACAGTTTCCCAAAACATTGGGACACTGTTCCAGTACTTAAATGACTCAACTTGTATAAACACAGGAGTCAGGATAGGTATTTATGTCACACCACTGCTGACGGCTATCAGGGGATAAAGGAATTTTGGTGACAGCTAACACTGTACATTTCTTATTTTTTTTTTTTTTTAAGTAGATAAAGTTACAATTTGATAAGTGTATGATTTTTCCAAGAATCTCCCAGGTTTTTTTCATTGTTGCCCCTTTTTTTTTTTTTTTGGGGGGGGGGGTGGTCCATCCTTCTAGGGGAAATAAAACAAAAACAAGTTGGGGGGTGGGGGGTGGAAATAATTTTTTTTTTCACCAGGCAGCAAAGTTGAGCAGAAATAGTGATTCCCTAGTTAATGCTCAAAGCAAGGTGTTTCTCCAGCTCTATTTCAGAGGGTTTTAGGCACCAGCAGATCACCAGTGAATGTTTTTACTGTTATGAGATAAATCAGGAGCTCACCTAACAAGAAGTACTGGCAATAACAGAAAAATTTCTCAACAGCTGGTACAGAAACAGAACAGAGGAGA